ACTGAGAATAATGATCAAGGGGACCCATTGCCGGATCATAGAGCCCATTAGGCACTGGTAGCTGTAATCCATCAAGCAAATTAGGGCTTGTGACTTTTACAACACTATGTCTACGAACTTCTTCATCTGTCATGAAACTGAAATGAACCGCTTCAACGGCCTCTGATGCACCCTGTAAGCAGTAATCTTTTTTGTTACATAACCACCAAAACAAAAACATCCAAAGAAACATGTAGCCCAAAAGTATTTTTCAGACAAAGCAGCCAGTGTTACAGATATTATCACCCTATTTGCACTTCGGAAATTAGTGGTACATCAATCATAAGATATTAGTGGCATGGAGCATCCACATGAAGCTAACATGTTGCAAGCAATGTGGCCTAGGGTCAACAAAAGTGGAATAGACCATGAGAGACCAAGATTCATCTAAAAACAACATACTCATCGGGAACTGGGGAAGGTAGAGTGTACACACACATTATCCCTACCTCGTAGAGGTAGAGAGGTTGTTCAAGTGCAGCAAATCAAAGTAGATTCAGCTCAAAACAACACTAGGTAATTTCCCAGTAACTGGGATAGGTGCAAGGTGGCAGGTACCTGATGGAGGTAGCCAAAATTGGCCTCGGCACAACGTTATAAAGAACTAGAAACTAAAAAAACAAGTTGCAAACAGTAGCGGCAACATGTGGAAGCATACACCACACATCATAAACCATTAGCTCGACCGCAAAAGGGGATAATAGTAGAAAACAAGCTCAACCAGAAAGTAAAACATCAAACAAGTTCAGATTTTGACAATCAAACTATAGAGAAACAGGTAGAATCAACAACTCTACATATTATTGAATTCATTGACGTATATCAAACATCAACAACAACAAAAACGAGAAAAAAAAACTGAAAAATACAAAAAAATAAAAAAATACCTGATTCATCTTGAAGTTCCAGTTGGAAAAAAAATTGAATCTGAAGGTTCAATTTGGAGCTTAGAGAAGCTAAAGGGTGCTGTATATTTTGTGGCGGAAGGTTCGTTTGGAGGCTGGGGAAGAGAAAAGGTTTTGAAGAAATGGGTTTAAGACAGGGTTTAGTAGAAAGTCCAGATAGCACTAGTAGTAGTTTTTTTTTTCGGACGCTTTAATATTAATAAAATAAAAATTCGATTTTTTTTTCTTTTTCTATTTTAAATTTGTTTGAATTTCTCGAGTTTTGCTTCGTAACACTAATTTTTCATATGATTTATCATATTACGTCTTTCACTTTTGTGATATGGGGTTGTTTGGTAGCTGGATAAGAAATAAATTATTTATATATTAATTTTAGTATAATTTATAGAATGTTTGGTACGTGGATATGAAATAAGTTATTTATGTATAAAATAAATATGACGTTCAATTGGCAATTTAAAAATTTGCATAACTAATACGCATTTTCATCTTCTAATTATTGAAGTAAATTTGTTGTATGTTCTTACTTGTTGAATTTAAAATATTTCTTAACGTATTAAAATTGTCTCAAAAACTTTGTTCTTTCCACTATTTGGATCAAATTTGTTCTTAATATTATTCTCAAACTTTAAATTGTTCTTCTATTAACGATGTAACTATATAGTGTTTGATTAAATATACGACATTTCTTTATTGGTCCACATAAATTTCTGAGTCAATCCAACATAAATTTATTTTAATAAAAAATATAGCTAAACAATAAAATCATTTTGAGGTTAACTAAATATGCATATCTATTAGCAAGATTGAAACTACTATCGTTATGAATTTATTTTTTATAAAATATTTTTCATTTTTTCCAAGACTATACAGATATAAACAGTGAAATCTTAATGCAACTAGCTATCCCTTTTATATAAAATTCAATGATTCACCATACCTCATGTTAACATCTTTCTTTGAGACTTCACAAATTTGCATCAATAACTATTCTAATTTAGCCTGAATTCAAGTTATATATGACCAAAGTTAAGCAAAAAGTGACTGAACAATTGAATTTTAGTTATTTATCTAAAGTTATTGGAATGGAGTACATGTGTAATAGTTATGAAAAAGTGACCACAAATTAAAAGATAGCATCAAAATCGGATATTTGTGTATTTGGTCGAAACAAACTACAAAAATTCTCTTCTTTCTTGAGCCCAAGCCCATTTAAAATCGTAAGGACTTGTGTATTAGAAGACATAGTTCCTTCATATTTTGGGGAACTTGCATTAATCTCATTAGTTTCTAAGCTAATTACTTAGATACAGTCTAATTTGTAATATTATAGATACATCCAAATGCATGCATCTCGGATACATGAGGTCAAAATTAGGTATAATTTGCTCTAGATACATTATATCCAAGTGGATTCGCATGTATCTAGGATACCTAGTAAATCTTGTTCGCCTCCCTCACCCCTCTCCCATCTCGCTCACCACTCGCCAAATACATGTGAATCACTCCAAATACATGTATCTAGTGTGGTTTGCATGTATATGTGATACATACGAATCTCGTTTGCCTCCCTCCTCAACCTCGCTCGCCTCTCTCCTTATTTGTGTGTATTTGGTAGCAAAAATACATATATCTAAGTGTAAGATACATATGAAACTCTTAATTAGTGGTAAGATATGTAACATTTTAAAAGCATAGACAATAAAAGTATACATGAAAATGAAATATGTCTAATTATGTAGATTATGTAGTGTTCCTTAAAAGATCAATTTACAAGTAGATCGATGGGCTTAAACATGGGCCTGGTAAAATGTTTTTTTCACCAAATTATCACGAAAAGTGTAGGCCGTAAGGAGCCATTTTAAAACACTCAACATATATTTAACGGAAAAGGGCCAAAAATACCCTTGTACTATTCAAAAAGGTTTAAAAATACCCCTCATCCACCTATTGGGTTAAAAATACCCCTCAATCAACCTTTTTGGTCTACTATTACCCTTTAAACTAACAGCCTTATATTTTTGAATTATTATTATTATTAATTATTACGTGGCATCTTTTTATTGGTTAAAGTAATTCCAACCCACTAAACTTTCTCCTATCCATCCGACCCGACCCATATTGACATCCCTGACCCAAACCCAATTAAAAAGATCCATCATAAATAAAAAATTTGAATCATCTCCTCTCCCTGAACCTAATATCCTATTTTTCTTCATTTCCTTCTTATTAACCAATTTCAAGATCAATTTCACCTAAAATGGCTTAGATTTTTCAGTGCAATACTTTGTTGAAGTTGAGGGATTCAAGTTGGAACATTGATTTTTTGAAGTCTTCTCTCTTCTAAGTAGGTCGTTTTTTCATTTTCATGGCTTAGGGTTTCTGAAATTTTCATGTAGTGTTACTCTCGTAGGGATTCAAGTTGGAACATTCATTTTCATTTTCATGGATTATCTCCTCTCCCCCTAAACCTAATATCCTATTTTTCTTCTTTTCCCTTTTCTTATTAAGCAATTTCAAGATCAATTTCACCCAAAATGGGTTAGATTTTCAGTGCAATAATTTATTGAAGTTGAGGGATTCAAGTTGGAGCATTGAATTTTGAAGTCTTTTTCTCTTCATTCAAATATCCGAATCTTCTTTTGTTACTTATTGTGATGTAGGAGAGTCTTGAATGGTTGTCAACTTTTTTACTGCTGCGAAACCTACAAATGATGGTCGTAGGTTTGTTGTCGCTATGAGACAACGAATGGTTGTCGTTATTGAGAATGGCAAGGTAAAAATTATTTTCCATCTCATGTGACAATGTTTATTCACATTAAAAAAAATCATTGGATGTCATTCGTCAAGAACGCAACATGTTAAGGAAGACGTGAATGATATGTCGAAATTGACAAATTTGAATAATGTATCTACCTTGAGGAGAAAGTTTCAAATTTGGAGTTCAAAGACAAGCAAAGAAGGAAGATTGTGCTATGGTCATGGGTTTTTTTTTTCTTCGAAGATGATGTCTTGAAGTTGTTGTTTTTGTTACTTTTCTCTAGATAAGTTTGTGATATGAAAAATTGTTGATGGTGTCTAGTTAGTGTAATGTTCTTAATTGTAATTTCTATTATTGTTGGTATGGTAGCAAAATTGTGTTTAGTTCGCAAGCTTCATTGTAATGTATTTCGTTGCTAATGAAGTGAATTAGGATCAATTTTGTGTTCATTTTTGGATTAGTTTTTTTATCTTCATAAATGGTTGCATGCACTTTAGTTGAGTTCTTGCTGCTATTTTTTCTTTATAGTTTTTGTGTAGTTTTTGGTAGAATTTAGGTACTGTTTGATCGAGTTTAGGTGTTAGATTTGAAGCTATTTTTATTCTAATTTCATATATTTGTTATTCTTCAATGCTTTTACAATTTTATAGTTTGGTGAATTTCTCATGTTTAACAACTATAAGAATAGCTTTGAAACTAAAATTTTATTTTTCCGGAAGTGTAAAGTCATTTTGTGGAAGCATTGTGTAGTATCTATTGTGGTGCTTTAGAAGTATTCTTGATCTGGCTGGCATGTTTCAGCAGTCAACTACTCATCTTTTCAAATTAACCAACAAATTGACAAATTCTTATTTGTATCAATGACACAGTAAAATTGACTTATTTTAAGTGTTTTTAAGCTAAAATAACTTTTAAACACTTTTGGAGTACCTGAATAAGTTAATAGAAGTGTTTTAGTTAAACTTATTAAAGTTACACATGTATTAACCAACAAACTATGATATAAGTTATGAGGGGTAGTAAATGATGCACATTAACAATATCTAGCCATTGCAATACATTTCAAAATATTCTGTTCATACAAAAGTAAGCTGAAATATGCAAGACGTGTTTCATTCACAAATTCACAATGTTCTTCACCCTATGTTGAGCACAACAAAAATAATTAAGGATGAATCAATACAAAATCATTTAACAAATTAGCAAATTCTTGAATTAGTCACCGCAAAAATATGTACGTTTCCTAAATGTTGGTCATTTCTTCTCTAATCTTGCCTTCTTAGTCTTCAATTTACCTAACTTTTTTTTTCCTTTCTTCTTGCAACCAACTGGTTTGAGGTCATTGCTGCCTTGCCTTTCCAGGTAACTTTCTTTGGTGAATAAGGCAGATTGGTAGGCTCCACGACACCAAATTCATCTCCCTTGAAGCTAATTTTTCTAGTACCAGTTGGTCTTCGTTGTAATTTTTTTTGTTGAAGCCTAGTCCTTTCTTCAGATACCACCTTCGGCCTCAAAATTGGTTGGCCGTCTTCATCTTCATCTTCCTCTTCACCTTCCCATTCATCATCACCAATGGTTGAATGTTGAGCAAATTGTTGTTCTTGTTCAGAAGTTTGACTTTCGTGTACTGTTGTTAAGGTCACATCTTGCACTTTATGGGAAGATCCTTCACCCATATTCTTTATCTTCTCGTTCACCTGCAAAAACAACCATGAATATTTCAACGAATCAAACAAGCAATAAAATTAAGAATATTTCAGTTTATAAGCATTCAAAAGTAACAATATTTTACCAAAGGACAAGTTCTGATGTTGTGACCTCTGTTACAACAATATCCACATGTCATTAAAAGTCCTTTTCTTGAAGATGACCAAGCCCCCTCTCTCTTCCTTGCCTCGTCCTTCTCTCTCTTTCTTTTCAACTTTGGTCTACCAACCATTTTATGTATTTCTGGTGGTTCCATTGCATGTTCTGGTTTCACTTTCCAGAATTTTTCACCTCTAACTGGTTGTAGTTTATGCATATAAACTAACATGTAAGCTTCCTTTGAATACCACCAATGCACCTCGCTCATCGGATTTTTTTTCTGGTAAATCAGAGCTTTGATGGAATGGGAACATGGTATTCCTGTCAAATCCCATACCCTGCATGTGCACCTCTTTAATTGAAGATTGACGGTATGCTTGTCTTCACCTTCATGCACTTCATATCCAAAGTCTCCATTAAAATGAATTTCACACCCTTGTGCTATTTCTCTGTAATCAGTCAGCAAATCCTTGGCATATGGACTGATTTCATCTCTCCAATTCCTACATTCCTCCTCACGATCTTTCAGTAATTTCATTACCTTTCAAACAACGGAAAATCCATAATTAACATGCACTCGTTAGCATTTTTTATGAGTCCGAGTAACATAGATAAAGTAATGACATAGTGTGCTTAAAATTTTATAAACATCAATGTTATAAATACATAAAATTGATAGTAATATAAGTGACAAAAATTCTAGTAATGAAAAAAATTATCAAAGACAAAGTAATAGTTAAATACCTTGACTCTTATCTCTTCCAACATCTTGATAATTGGTTTGTGTCTTGCCTCTAAAATCCATTTATTGAATGATTCTGTAAAGTTGTTGTCAACCATTTGATTCTTGCATTTGGTGTCAAAATAAGCTCTACACCATTTTTGGGGTGGGTAGCCTATTAGTTCTTTGGTAGCCATTTCAGAAACAGTCCCTAAAATTGTCAATTGGTCATTGAACTCTTCTCCATAAGTGCTCCAAGCACACCACCACATTAATTTTTTCATTAGTACACCCCTCCAGTTCTTACTCCAGTTAGCTTCTATATGTCTAGCACACCATCTGTGATGTGAATTTAGGTAGTACATCAATCAACAGCACCAATCAACCCCTATAATATTCCAAACAGTTAAGTAAATAAGATAAGATTGGTAATTAAAAAAAACTTAACAACACAAATGTAAATTAAGTTGAGAATTTATAACCTTTTGCATATCTGATATAAATGTAACTCCTTCACCCTCCCTCAACTCTAAAGAAGATCTCAATAGCTCCATAAACCACTTCCAAGTTCTATTTGTTTCTTTATCCACCACGGCCCAAGCAAGTGGATAAAGGTGTTTTGCTGAATCTTGTGCCATAGCAACCAATAAAATTCCCTTACATTTTCCTTTCAAAAATGTGCCATCCAAACCTATTAGAGGCCTCAATCCTGCTTTCCAACCACTTTTCAAAGCTTGAAAGCACACATACATTCTCAAAAATCTACTTTTTCCTTCTGTCAAAGCATTTTTTGATATGTTTATAACCACATCTGTACCAGGATTACTATCCCTCAATTCTTGAGCATAGGCCTCTAACCTATTGAAATCATCAATGAAGCTACCCTCTAATTCCTCTAAGACAAGCTTCTTAACTCTCTTCATCTTAGAATAACTAATATTCAGTTTAAATTTCTGATCCATGTCCACCCTCATTTGTTTGATCTTGTACTTGGGATCATTTTGGACTTTGTTCTTGAAATAATGTGCTAAAACATCAGGAGTAGCTCTTCTATTATGAAATGCTGAATCACATTTATGTTTTGTCTCCAAAGTCTTGATTTTAAATCCTTGATCTTTATTATCCTTAGATATCAAGCACACAAAAGGGCATCCAGTATCACATACATATCTAAGTCTAGTAGTGTCCGATTGTTTTACTTTAAGACCAACCTTATTAGCAACTGCATAGAATCCCACGACTCTTTTAGCTTCAAACAAATCTTTAAAACTCATGCCTTTTTCCAAGTGTAAAAACTTGTCAAGCTTTTCATTAACATCTTGAGTTCTTTCCTTTCTAAAGAGTTCTAATTCTTCACTGTCACGATCACTAGAGTTAAGTCCAACATTTTTCTCCTCATCAGATGAATCACAATCTGTTCCAACATCTACCGCAATATTATGATACTCATTTTGATCAATAATGTTAGGAGTAGAGACATGTAGTTCACTTTCATCTATAGCATATAATTGAAGCTCACAGACCTGGTTAGACAATAAGGGTTGCAATGATATAATGCTAGGAGATGGAACAAATAATTCATTCTCATCCACAGCATATAGTTGAAGCTCACTGAACTCGGTACACAATAAAGATTGTAGTGCTATAATGCATGCATCATTCTCAATCAGAAAGTATCTACCAGAAGGCCCATTCACTAGTACCTGCTTCACCTTACTGAAACCTAACTTTTCAGTATACTCTGCGCAAATATCTATGTAAGATAGTAAATCCGCATCAAAATCTTGCATAATGTGATTCAACTTTTTAAGATACATCACTTCAGGTTTCAACACCCACTTGCCTCCATAGTTAAACACCAAATCGATCTTCTCAATCATTCTTCAAAAAGTGTACATGAAAAAAAACAAGAAAACAGGGATCCATCAGCATCATTCAAAGAATAGGTTAAAGAAGTTAATATTTATTACCCTAAAATACAGACAAGAATAAGAGAAAGGGTCCACAACAAACTATAGATAAATAAACAAAACATTTTTTGAATAAACTATTGCAAAAGAGAAAGAGAATACACCATATCAATAACTAAACACAATATAAAGAAATATTAAAAATCAAAGTTCAGATAATAACAATTGAAAAGGGACCACTAAAAGTCAAGAACTAAGAAAAGAAAGACGTAAAAACATTCAAAATATTCTAGAGTAACACTACATGAAAATTTCAGAAACCCTAAGCCATGAAAATGAAAAAACGACCTACTTAGAAGAGAGAAGACTTCAAAAATCAATGTTCCAACTTGAATCCCTCAACTTCAACAAAGTATTGCACTGAAAAACTAAGCCATTTTAGGTTAAATTGATCTTGAAATTGGTTAATAAGAAGGAAATGAAGAAAAATAGGATATTAGGTTAAGGGAGAGGAGATGATTCAAATTTTTTATTTATGATGGATCTTTTTAATTGGGTTTGGGTTTGGGTCAGGGATGTCAATATGGGTCGGGTCGGATGGGTAGGAGAAAGTTTAGTGAGTTGGAATTACTTTAACCAATAAAAAGACGCCACATAATAATTATTAAAAAATATAAGGCTGTTAGTTTAAAGGGTAATAGTGGACCAAAAAGGTTGACTGAGGGGTATTTTTAACCCAATAGGTGGATGAGGGGTATTTTTAAACCTTTTCGAATAGTACAGGGGTATTTTTGGCCCTTTTCCCTATATTTAATTATTGGGCAAATCACATAAATCCCACTAGTTTAGGTCTTAATTATTAAGATTCCCAATAGTTTCAAATATTACTTCTTCTACCATATTTTATGATTAGGATACATGAGTCTGAATCCATGAGATACATGTATCTGTCGAATTTTAAAATTGAGATACAAAATTTATTTATTTAAATTAATTGGTTGTAACTTATTTCCTTAATTAGAGGAGTAATTGAGGATTTTCAAAATACATAGATAATTAATTTCATCTTATTATTCTTTGAAATAGTAAATTCATTAATATTATTAATATAAGATAAAAACATGTATATCTTGGTAATGTAATTTGATTACATATACATCTAATTATGTGTACCTAAATATGGAATACACAAAAAGAAGAAGCATATACATCTAATTATGTGTATCTAAATTTCATATGTTATATCCAAAAACATGTATCTCGAATACATAATAAGCATATATATTTAATTATGTGTATCTAAATATGAAATGTAGTTGAAACACATGAATCTATGAACAAATCACGATTGTAGAGTATCTGTCGTATCGTTAATATCATTGTGTTGTTAAAAAACATGTATCCGAAATTTAATATATAGTGGATACATATACATGTTCAGATACCCCATTACTAAAAATACAACTCAGATCTTAATTAAGATTACTACTTATTGGATACACATGTTTCAAGGGCTATATCAAAGTAATATTGGTACTACCACATCCATATCACAGTAACCAAAGAAAGTCTTAGAAGAACACCAGCAAACAAAAACTCTCTACAATATTCCCTTTGATCCTTTTGCACTGTGGCATAACATAATCAAAACTAAGATCCATTTCTTTCGGAGACAAACAATCAAGACCCACTATGAATTGAAAGTTTTCTCTGTAGCAGTTACTAGTTACTGTGATTGGAACTCGTGACAAATGAACAATACAAAATGATATTTGGGTTTAGGAGAATTTGTGGTGATGATATCTCAAGAAGAAGAGAGTAGATTAACTATTGTTAAAATGAAATTGTAAGGTGAAATTCTTGAATCAAAAAGGAGGAGACATAATTGAGTGATAAACATGGGAGGGGAGAATTAAGAGATAGTGGTTGATTTGGAGTGAAAGAGTTAATTAAGTAGATAATTAATCAATAATAGTTTTAAGGGATGTGGGTATCTAATAGTATTTTCAAATAATATATTAATATATGGTATAAAATACTAAAAGTGGTAATATATGTAATTGTTTAAAAGTAAAGATAATATTAGTATATATAGTAGTAATGTATGTCTAATAAGGTAGTTTAAGGTTAATTAAAAGGGGAACTTTCGCAAATAGTCACTATAACAAACTTAATTATGATTCATATCTATAATTTGCATAGTTACGGTTTGTAGCTACAGTTTAAGCTGCTTCGTTTGTATAGTTCGTGGATTTGTATAATTCGCAGGTACATTTGTATAATTTAGTTTTTTTTGTTTAAACTCAAAATAACGAATTTATACAATTACAAACATCAGAAGTGTAAACAGTTATACAAATTATATTTTACAAATTCTGAATTATACAAAAGTTATAAAAATTATATAATACAAATTCCAAATTATATAAACGTGCGAATTATACAAAACTAAAAAGTTGAGCTGCATAATTATAGCTAAAAGTAGATCGTGAATTGTAATTAAGGTAAACTATAACTATGTTAACTATTAACTAGTATATATTTGCTTATACACATAATTTTCCCAATTTTAAACAGTCTACAGAATAATCATCAAGTTCATGGAGACAATGAATATTGGTCATATTTAACCAACTCCATAAAGACAATCTTTGTCTAATACATGTTCCTTAAGTGGACACGATGAAGGATCTGGTACTTTCGTAGTTCAATTATACATATCATTGGTTTTCTTATTTGAGACATGTTAAGAATCTGATTCTTATACGATATTTACGGAAAAATATTGAAAATGCGTTTAAACTATGTTAAATTATCCTTTTATCTTTATGGTTATGTCTGAGAAGGGATTGCATTAGGATTATTATCGGTTGGTCTTATAAATATTCTCATCTTGTGATTAGTAACATTCTTTTATTTGCCCAAAAAATTATTCTTTCACCTCTCTTTTCAATTATTTTTTGTACTAGTATAATAATTCTCATCCGCAGAAGTATTTGATAACTTTGTTCATTATAACTTCAATAAAGTAGAAGTCGACTAATCCTTTAAATGTGTACGAGATATCATAAGGATCCAATATCTTAATAACTCATTTGTCTAAAATTTCGAATGCGACTTCATATTTGAATCACAAGAAATTTTTGACTAATAAATCATTCAAAACTTGATTGAGAAATTATAAACAATACAAGTTTGAAAGGTTGGTCGAAAAAAGGACCGCGCACCATCACCAACAACACTCATGTTGTACCTATTACAATAAAAATCAATATATTCGGTGAAATCTCATACAAGTGGCATCTAGGGAAGAAGACATGTACGCAACCTATTCTTACTTTGTGAAAGTAGAGGAACTGTTTCCGATAAATCCTTGACTCAAATAATACATATCCAAATCAATAATCATATATAGAAAATAAGGGAGAAGAAAATAGTAACAATAACTTAATTATTTTTTTTCTTTTCTGTTTTTTTTTGGTGTGATGAATAAGATAGGAGGAATACATAAAAGAAATAAAGTTTTTGTCTGGGTGGAATCAGAAAGATGGAATCAAATATATATTTTAATCTCTTTTTCTCTTTAATAATCCAACTTGTTCTTTGAGTAATAAAAAAAAGGACAAAGTTATAGCAAAGTTCATGTGCTTATCATAAAGTTGTTCCATTAAGAATACATCATCTTTTTAAAATTTATTATTTCATGACAAAGACTTGGGCACTATGTAACTATGTATCATTGTTCTAAGTGCTTTCATAATAAAATATGACAACCTAATTTTCAACTATAAAAACAGAAGTCCTTTGGATGATTCAGTTGGTTTGGAGGGTGGTTATCCACACGGATGACTCGGGATTGATTCCCCCCTCAATGCCTTCTGAGTCGAGCCTGTCGCATAGAACTTGCCTTGTGCGGTTTACATTCCCTGTGTGGCTTGCAGACTATTACACAGTGGAGGGTTTACCAAGTGCGCACAAAGTGCTCACCCGAAGGGCAGAGGCTGTGGCAGAGCATTTATGAGAAACAACCTCTTTACATTAGGGGTAAGGAGGCTGCAATTGCAAACACACTACCCTCCCAGACCCGCTTATGGGATTATACTGGATATGTTGTTGTCACGTCCTTCAAAAACTTCAAATGTCATATATATATATATATATAAAGTTCTAAGCTTTTTTATAGAACACATTTGAAAGTATATGAATTTTACAATTCCATTGCATTTCTTAAAACTAACATTTTGTCAAAGGCAGAGGTTACTAGCACTCTAGCAGGCCACACTTCCTGGTATTTGACAGATTTATTGATATATATTCACTCACTTTCTTAGAAAGTTACTCCATTTTGGTTATATATATTCACTGCTTAAGGATTTGAGTCTGTAAGATTGAATTTTTATGCAGAAATGGAAGCTGATATCAGTGAGAAGTTGTTGAGTGAAGTGCAAGCTGTGGGGGATGGTGAAAAGGAAGTGAATTTCAAGGAGAAGTTATGGAACGAGACGAAGAAGATGTGGGTGATTGCTGCTCCAGCCATGTTTACAAAGTTTTCGACGTTTGGAGTAACTGTTATTACTCACTCATTTGTTGGTCATATTGGACCTAATGAACTTGCTGCTTATGCTTTAGTCAGTACTGTCCTCCTGAGATTTGGCAATGGCATTCTGGTACTTTTTCTGTTCTATCTCACTTATTTCTAAACAAGAATTGAAATGTATTTAACAATAGTAATCATGATTCATAGTAGTGGTTGTTTTAGTGATGATAAGATGCGGGAAGGGAG